CATGCCACTGTGCTTGGCTATTTTTTAATTTTTTGTAGATTCAGGGTCTTGCTATGTTGCCCAGGCTGGCTTCAAACTCTGGCCTCAGGTGGTCTTCCTACCTCAAGTCTCCCAAAGTGCTGGGATTATAGATGTAAGCCATTATGTCCAGTCTTTTGGATGTACTTTAAGGACAATTTTTATGAAAGACAAACACAACAACAATGTGACTTCAGAAGCAAAATCTGGGGCAGCACCTGTGGCTCAATGGATAGGGCACTGACCCCAATATACCAAGGGTGGCAGGTTCGAACCCGGCCCTGGCCAAATTGCAACAAAAAAATAAGCCGGGCATTGTAGCCGGCACCTATAGTCCCAGCTACTTGGGAGGCTGAGGCAAGAGAATCGCCTAAGTCCAGGATTTGGAGGTTGCTGTGAGCTGTGACACCACATCACTCTACTACAGGCCATAAAGTGAGACTCTTAAAAAAAAAAAAAAAAGCAGCAGCAGCAAAATCTGCAGATTAGCAGGAAACATTGGTAAGAGACCCCGCTTTGCCCCAGTGTAGGCAGATACCTTCTCTTCTTTCTCATTTTCCTAGAAGCATCAAAGAATGGCCCTTCGAAGCTTCCAGCAAAAATCATAACTATGTTGAGCTTTTCCATAAGACTTATTTAAAAGTACTTCATGACTGTTCAAGATTTTGAGTTGTCAGGGTATCAGAATTTAACAGGGTGGGGCTGGAATCCAAAGTTAACAACTGCAAAGAATTACTGGGTTCCCAAACAAGGAAACATTTCACACATAAAGCTGTTGCTTCTTCAACCCTTCCAATTTGGTATCTTGAATACCAATTATTTTTAAAATGAGTTATTTCCACACAATCTTACTACACATCTAAAGTAATTTCCTCACTTCTACTTGTCTATAAAAGCTATAAGACCAGAACGTTTTTCAGAGGGTCAGTATTCAAATAAACAGGAATAAAATGAAACACAATTTCAAGTCAACAGTGATAAATCCTGGAGCTAAAAACTAGAAAACTTCTAAATCTGTGGCAATTAATAAAAGCAAAAATTTTCCAATTTTTTTAAATTTTACATATATATATGTATGTGTGTATATATACACATATATGGGTTTTTTGGCCGGGGCTGGGTTTGAACCCAACACCTCTGGCATATGGGGCCGGCGCCCTACACCTTTGAGCCACAGGTGCAGCCCAATTTTCTGATTTTTCAAATGAATGTGATGTAAGCAGTAGCTGAAGGTAAAAATGCAGCATTACTATCAAAATGCTAACAGAGAATACAGAAACATCTCAGTGACTTTTATTTTACAATAAAGTAACACTGCAGAGAACTAATAAGACCATAAAATAAAATTAATTTTTCACAAAGTCTAGGAAGTTACTCTTCCCAACACTAGACAACTTCAACTAACAAAACAGGCAAAGGCATGTGTTGGTAGACTTTATCCTCTTTTAAAAGCTGGTATTCTCTTTCCCGTGACCAGCACATGAAATGGGAAATACTACTTTACCTACCTATCACTTAGGAGAGGGATAGTGTTTCTTCCCCACCTACCTGCCACCTTACACACACACACACACACACACACACACTTTCTACCTTGAAAACTATACAGTATACCAGCAGCACCATAGGGAAGCAACCTTCCCAGCTACCCATGACTTCTGTGCTCCACCATTCAAGACTTAAAATTACACCACAGACTGTGCATTAGAAAACCATTTGACATGATGGAAATGTTTTAAAACCTGGTTCTGGTAATGGCTGCACAACTCTTTAAAATGACTAAAACTCACCAAATTGCACATGTGCAACAGGTGAATTATGTTACAGTATGTAAATTACATCTCAGTAAAGCTTTAAGAAAAATAGCCAGCAAGGTGTAAAGAGTTAAGACAGTAAAGCACGAAAAGTGTATCAAAGAACTGAAGAGACTCAACACATAATTGATAATACATCTTCAATTCAGAACCTCCAGGTAGCCTATTAAGTGACTCTTCCTTCTCTTAACATATTCCTCAACACCTTTTGATCTTCCCTTCATTCTGCTCTATGCTGCTCCAAAAAGAACTCATTGTTCATCACCTTCACAATTCCACCTGCAGAATTAAAAATATCTGATGCACGTGCCCAACAGCAGTGAAAGGCTGACAAGTAATTTTGTACAAATCAGTTCTCCATGTCCAGAACAAGTTGGGAAGGGAGGTCCTTCTAACTGATTCTCCAAGCCAGACTGCTTCGACCTCCCATAGCACTTTGTTCATACTTCTCGTGGAGCCTTTATAACTTGGATTATGGTCATTCCGCTAAGTCTTATCAAGCTTTAACACTCCTTCCCCCTTTCCCTCTCCCCAATACCTGCAGCAGTATCTGTCACATCGTAGTATTTAATACATGTTCTTCAGATGAATGGCATCATTTTCCCAATCAAACTGAGGAATATCAATTCCATCCTCAACGTGCAAATACAGTTCTCCATCCTACTGAACTACCCTAATTCAAAGCCTATTTCCTTGGGTGACTGGTAGATGACAGTGACATGAATAATCAAAAACTCTAAAATTACTCATGGCTAGCCAACTAGCTAAGGCTATTAAAATACAAAGCAGCTCAAAGCACTAAAACTCAATTTCTGTGCTAGGCAACAAATTATTATAAAAATCACTATTGTTTGCCTATTACCCAGCATCCAAACCCAACATGTTTTCTACTACCATCAATATACCAAGTATGATCACTACTGTGCAAGATAGGAAAGGTTAAGTTCACATCAAACCTCCGAAGTACAAAACAAGAAAAAAAAGCTCAAGAAAAAAAAATCATAGCATTTCACAGAGAAATTAACCAACTGTTAATACTCAGGACAGAACAGGAAGAAAACCTATCAAATTCACTCCCCACCGAGATCCGTTCATAACATAAGAAAGCCAAATTTGCATTACAATTAATGACTTGTAAATAGATCTAAAAATACCAAAATACTGACAACAACCAACACAAAATTTCAGCAGGTGAAGAACATCATGAATTGGCAGATTTTAAATCTTCAGACCTGTGAAATGTGTTCAAATCCTATTAAATGTGCAAAATACAGTGATGCTATTAAAAGGGGGGAAAAAAGAAAAATACCCAAAGACGGATATCAAAAACTTACAGGAAGACCCTTAAAGTGGATAAGTTTCCTACTCCTAAGTGGACTCTAAAATACCTTAAATACTACTAACTTAATACATCTTTTTAGAACTGAATCTCACTGACACCATTTGTAGCTCTGAAAAAACCTGAAATATACATTGTTTTTAAAGTCAAAACCTTCCAGGTGCTTCCAAAATACTGTTGAGTCAGGTTTTTAAAAATACATGTAAAAATTGAAATGCACTTCATTATGAGGTACTTATTCCCAGCAATAAATCAAATGTAAACTTTTGAGTTTCGTTTGAGTTCCTCTTCACCAGTAAGGTTGTCAAGTTTTTAGGAGTTTCCTAGTAATTTACTTGAACATCATCATCTACGGTAACACTCAAAGCAAAACCACAATAAAGAGGTTTGGCCTCTGAGGGATTCTACACGTAAAAAAATATTACTCATAAATAATACACAACCACTATTGCTTTAAGTAACAAACACATTTCTAAACTTTTATGCCATTTGATGGAATTCCCTATTTTAAATAGCAAAACAAAATCTATGAAACCACCTATGCATGTTTTTTTACTTTAAATCTAGTCTATGATAATAAAGCGCTGATATGAATTTACTTCTACAACTCAGAGGAAAATATTTTTAGTTGTTATTTTTATTCAAAAAGGCCTTATTATTCAAAGAGTTAATAGAATTCAGAGAACCAGTAATTGGGCCAATTAATCCCAGAGTTATGTTCTTTTAGGCTGCCCAATATCCTATTTAATCCCCGGTATAAATAAACCAATGAAACCTTAAGAGGACACATTCATTTAATCAAAGAACAGTATAAAGTTGGAACTGTGGAGTACTACCATACAGTCACATTGGAATGCCATCGATTCAAAACAAGTACCTGATGAAAGGAGACTTTTGGCAATTAACTTTAAATCCTATAGAGCATCCACCCAAAACTTTCTTATTCTATCTCACTTTCACATATTCCAATGCCTGTTCATTAAAGAACACCCAAAACAGTTTAACTTTAAACTCTAACACCAGTGAAACCAATTCCAGGCAGAAGTTAAAAGACTGACTACAAAATCAGTCTTGGCATTTTATCCAAATATATCTAAATGTTAAATCCAAAGTATTATACTTCAAATCGCTGTGATACTACATGCAGCTTACTACCTTCATTTAAATGAAGCGGAATTCTTTCAACATTCTTTTCATCATAATAAAGCTTTAAGCAGCCTTGAATACAGTCACTCTATTCATTTCACCATTTTGCAAAATCGTCCTCCATCACCACTCTGCATAAGCTAATCCAAAAAAAAAAAAACCTGACAGCTCAATCTTCCAAAAAAACTCTCTTCTTTATCAAACCCCAACATTTACTTTCTTGGACAGCAAGAAAATAACACACATTTGCAATTTAAGACAGGAAAAAGCATAACTAGGCTCACTGTACAACCACTAAATTTCTCAGAGAAGAGAAAAATAACTCAAGACAGGCAAATTAAAACCATTCTGCACATGGCAAAAATAAAAAGGTCTGTCCAACAATCCATAGCAATAGCACTACTTCCTCTCTTTCTGAGCCAATACCAGTATGCCAATGGATGTAAGTGTCAAATAAACCCAGTGTCTGTTTGAAACAAGACGAAAAGCTGGGAAAATTCCCTCCCATAAATCATTTAGTGAACACGAGGCTTTGCATTCAACACGAAATACACACAACCCACCACAAATGCAGAAAAAGCTGTAATCAACAAGTTGGAGAGAGGGCAGAAAGTAAGGCTCACCACCCTCCCTCCACCTTTAAAAAAGTCCTTTAACAAAAGGTAACGCAGATCTTTAAGTACCTGGTGGAGGTGCCTTTCCTCACATCGCAGATGCTGCACTTAAAGGCTTCCGCACTGTTTCTGAAGGTGCAGACGCTACAATCCCAAAAGCCTTCATCTGCAGCAGGTTTCGCTTGTCTTTTTGGCCTTCAGAGTGGGGAGCAGGGAGTGGGAGAAAGGAAAGGGAAGAGAGAGGGAGCAGGAAAAAGGGGGAGAGAGAGCAAAACACCGGCGCTGGTGAGCCGTCGTAATTTAACAGGAATCCGGCGCTGGAAACTTAGCTCGGGCGACCACCCACCCATCCTTTTCGGGGACGGGGAGAGTGGGGAAGGAAACCGGGCGCCCCTACCGGCACCCTGCAACCCCCCGAGTCCCAGCCGGATTGCTTCGCACACCAGGCGGCGGCGGCGGCGCCCCGGGAAGGGCCGCGGCGGGCGCAGGAAGCGGGCGGACTTGTGGACTTGAGTGTGGGGCTGGGGGGGCCGGGAGGGG